CATCATTGTTGTTTGGCAGGCCTGGGTTAGATTTGAACCTGCCACCTTAGGTGTATGTGGCTGGCGCCTTAGCCACTTGAGCCATATGGCACCAAGCCTGTATTGATTTTTTAAAGTATGGCAATGTTCAGTTAGCAAGGTGGCCAGGTGTGGTGGCTCACACCCGTAATCCTAGCACTCTGAGAGGCCGAGGTGAGAGGATCCCTTGAGCTCAAGAGTTCCAGAGCATGGGCGTTGCCTGTGGCTCAAAGGAGTAGGGTGCTGGCCCCATATACCGGAGGTGGTGGGTTCAAACCTGGCCCCGGCCCCCCCCAAAAAAAAAGAGTTCTAGAGCAGCCTGAACAAAGAGAGACCTCATCTCTACTAAAAATAGAAAAATAAGCCAGGTGTTGTGGTGGGCACCTGTAGTCCCAGCTATTTGGAAGGCTGAGGTAGGAGGATTGCTTGAGCCCAAGAGTTTTTGTTTTGTTTTGTTTTGAGACAGAGTCTCACTATGTCGCCCTTGGTAGAATGCTGTGGTGTCACAACTCACAGCAACCTCAAATTCCTGGACCCAAGCAATTTTCTTGCCTCAGCCTCCCAAGTAGCTGGGACCACAGGCATCTACCACAATGCCTGGACATTTTCTGTTGCAGTTGTCATTGTTGTTCAGCTGTCCCAGTCTGGGTTTGAACCTGCCACCCTCGGTGTACGTGGCTGGCGCCCTCACCACTGTGCTATGGGCTCTGAACCAGAGCTCAAGAGTTTGAGGTTGCTGTGAGCTAGGCTTCCAAACTCAGCTTTCCTATAGACCTGTCACCCTAGGGCCAGGCCAGGTTTTGGCAGTCCACCCAGCCAACAGCACCTACTGCATGCTCATCTCTGTTGTAGGCACCAGGGGTACAGCAGTAAATACAGAAAAGACAAAGCCGCTGCCAGGAAGAGCCGACATTATTAACACGTGCTTTTTCATGTTCATGTGGGTTGTGGATGGACAGTAAACATCTAAATATCCTACCAGAGGCTGGAAGAAACAGAACAGGGCAGGGGGCCACGAGGGGCAAAGGTCTTGAGGTGAGTGCGTGGTCAACCATCAGGACCAGGGATAGGATGGAGATGTACTTGGATGGGAGGGTGGGGGAAGGAAACTGGCAGGGGGAGCAGAGGCAGGGCCTGGCTGGACCTTTTTTGGTGGCCACATTCTCTAACCCCAGATGCAGGCCCAAAGGAGCAGCCTCCTCTTTAGCAATTTCTGGTGTTTGGTGCCCCTTCCCCAGCTCCCTCACATCTCTAAACAGCTAGTCCTTGCAAGTTCCTCAGGGTTCCTTCATGGCTCACACACACACACCCACACACACGTCAAACTTCTTGAGGACCGAAAGTGCATCTCATACAACTCTTGAGTTATCCACACCTCCATATTCAACATTTAGTGCTCAGGAATAATACAATGATATGTCAACATGTTGAATTGAAAGAATAATGTGGCCTTAATCATGTTACTTGCTTCTTATGCCTTGCCTTGGTTTCCTCACATGTAAACTGGAGATAGTATACAGTCCTGACTTATCGGATTATGGCAAGGAGGAAATGAGATAAAGGTTGTAAAAATTGGGAATCCAGGTGACCTGGACCTTGGGGGGCCATTAGTGTTCCTGGGTTTTTACAGGTTTCTCCTGTAAAGAGCTGGGTGCCTCCTGAGCTACTGGGAAAGATGCTTTCCCTCCTGGGCCAAGGAAACCCCTTTGGGTTCTCTCCTGACACCATGGGCCTCAGTTTCCTCCTCTGAGGAAGATTGACAGGGAAAGAGGGGCCAAGCGCACAGGCTGTCACAAATCCTTCCTGACAGTGCTTGTCCCTTCAGCCCAAACTCTTGTTGCCATGACTTATTTCATTTTTAGTCTCTGTGTTGGTCCCTTTCCAGGTCTTCCCTTACAGCCCTTGTCCCACCCCAGAACCTAGGCAGTGGGAGCCCATCCCAGGGAGAGTCCAAACAAAGGCCAGCCCCAGGGGGGCCAGCAGTGGCCAAATCTAAGATAGGACTATCCTGCACAACTGGCTGAGACCCTGCGAGATGGACAGAGGCCAGCAATTGAGTCCCTCACTGGCATCAGGCTTTCCCCAGATGGCCATCTCACCCACTCACTCCCACTTCACACAGGAAGAGGGGTGTCGTCTCAGCCTCCTCCCTCCCACTATTGTCCCCTTTTTTCCCAGACTGTGGGAGGCAAAGGGTTAAATCCCATAGAGCTGATGCTCTGACTCCAGGCTAGAGGGGCCCGGGAAGCTGGGGTCACTTCCTGCTCCGTCCCAGTCACCCTGAACTGGTCCCCGGGTCCTCAGCCTGGAATCACCCCTTGAGAAGGACCCCAGAGTCCTTGGCATCTAGCCCGCCCCCCGAGGCAGGGCATTTAAGGGGTTAAGTCCCCTGGGGCTGGATTCTGCCTTCCGGCTTTTCCCAGACCCCTGAGCCGTGAGTTGGGGACGCCTGGGTTCCCGGGGTGGGGGGTGGCCCAGAGGGCCCGGGACGGCCGCGGGGGAACAATGGGGCCCCGGAGGCGGCGGCCGGCGCCAGGGCCCTCGCCCCTCGCCCCCGCCCCGTCCGCGGGCAGGGGTGGGGGCCGGGGCAGGGGGCCGCGCGGCCGGAGGATTCTGGGAAGAGCGCGAGGGTCTGGCTGTGGGGGAGGGGGAGGGCGTGAGCATTCTGGGAAGAGGGAATTCGGCCGGCCAGGCTGGGGCCGGCGCTGAGAGCCGCAGTCTGGAAGGAGCCAGGCGCCGGGAGAGCCGGGAATGTTGGGTGCCAGGGGGCTGGGGAAGGGAGGATGCCCAGGCTCCAAATTGGGAGCCGAAGAGAGGGTCGCTGCTCTGGTTGAGCAGAAGTCCAGGGTCTGGCCTAGAGCAGGCGCAACCGGGGAGCAGGGGCCAGGGTGGCAGCATTCCCGCTGCCTTCATGTCAGGGTCACCCTGGGCCGCTCCCCACACTTCTCCCAGAGGCAAGCTCCTCCTTCCCTCCCTCTGCAGTGGGGCCACAGGGAGGTCTGAGGCTGCTGCTCTTGGCTTCTACCAGTTCTTGCCTATTTGGGTCTTCCCCCCACTTTCATGCTCCATATCGGCCTTGTCGTTAACCCCTTCCCTTCTTTGGACCACTGAGTTTGAACTTCTCAGGCAATCAAGGTACATAAGCTCTTACCTGTCCTCAGCAAACAGGACAGGGCATCCTTCCCGGCTTCCACAGAACAGTCAGGCAGCCCTCAAGGTGGTCCCTGCATCTACCTCCCCAAAGACACTTAAGGATGGGGGAGGAGGCAGTCACAGAGCCTAAGTGGCTGCAAAGACAGAAGAAATTAATTTACTTCCTAAAACATAACTTCTGTCCCTCTTACTGCTCTTCAGCAGGGTGCTTCACCTTGGTCACCTCACACCTTCAGTTGCCTCCTCATGAGTCCTTGCATGTCTCCCTTGCACAGCTGCCCCTGTGCAAACAATGCCCATCCCATACAGCCACCCAAAGCCGACAACCTAACTAGGGATTCTCTGGAGAGTGTAGATGTTACAGGAGGTCCTCCTCCTGTGGCCCTGTTTCCTCAGCCTGGAATCATTTTTGGAGTGGCTGCTGGCTGTGTTTTATGGGGACTGAGGGGTACTATTTACTATTCCTGCCCTCCCCTTGCAAGCTGACCTTTAAAGGCATTGGACAAGAAGTTCTTCCAAGAGCAAAGGGCATCTCATTCATTCATCTTTCAGTCATTCAACAAAATTTCTGGTGCACCTATTATGTGCCAGGCACTGTCCTAGACTTGGGATACAGCCTCAACAAAATAGAACAAAAGGGATAGAAGAAAGAATCCCTGGGTGGGACTGATTGATAATGGAGGGCTTCTGTGGTGGTGGTGTGGATGGTGCCTCGACTCATAGATGCAGATGGTCAATTCTAGTCACAGTCCAATCCCTCCCATTTACATCCAAGGAAACTTCAGTCCCAGGAATTTCTCCAACCTATTCTCTCCGCCAGCAGGCCCTCAGCTTTCCTCATCACCTGTCTTCTGCCAGCTTCCCATGAGTATGAGTCTCACATGATTCCCAAGGTCACCATGTGCTCGCAAGAGACAGGGTCAAGTCAGACAAAGAACCCTACATTTGTGGTCTTAGTTCTGCCACTTCCCAGCCTGTGACCTTGGAGAAGTTTTCCCAGGCATTGATTTACTAATCTGCAAAATGGACAGCCTGATTCCTGAGTGTCCTAGTGGGGTTGTAGGACAATTGGGTGAGAGAGAGGACAGCCTGGCAGGTCCTGTGTCAAGTCCAGGTATTTTCCACATACTCCCTTCTCTCTTTTTCCTTTCTGTTTCCCTTTCTTTCTGTACTTCTACAGAAGCTCCTGAGGCTTTAAACTACTCCTCCCACCTTTGGCCTGGCCTTCTTTCTGTGCTTGGATAAAAGGAAAGTGAGTGCCCCAGTCCTTTTGGAGGGCCTCTGTCCCCTCTGGGAAATTGGGGTGGTTTCTTTTTTTTTTTT